TGATACCAAGTTGACAGGACCCGACCCAAATTCTACTTGGGAATCCGAGCCGAACCCTGTGCGTGTCCGACACCTGGCAAGTGTCGAGCACAAATGATCAAATTGCCCTTCTAGTCAAAAAGTCAACTTAAAACGGAGTAAAATATTCCAAGGGTAGTTTAGTCTTTTCCTTCATTAAATTAATAATTAAATATTAATTAAGGTTTGGGTTGTTACACTGCAGATTTCCAATGAAAAGATTCTAGAAGACAAAGAGAGGCTCATGTTTAAGCTCAAGAGGCGCCATTCTCTTTCTCCAGAGGCTTCCAGATCATAATAGAATTTTATAGATTTTACAGAGTCTGCCATTTCCTTTGTAGGTGAAAAGAATCTATCTGATGTATGCTCTTTTCCTGTTATAATAATTGGGCAAATTCTTAAACTTGCACCTGTGATTTTCACATCTTTTTAAAATGATGGTTTGAAACATTGTGCCTTATAGGTTTGAATAACCACATCAAATCTCTTAATTTACAAATTTAAATGCATGTGAGTCCGGAACTTCTAGTCTGGGCTAAACACGACCTCAGAATTTATTTGCCTTTTTCAAATGGGCATGAAATAAAAATTGAGGAAAAGTCATAATATTGCAATATAGTAGTGAAGAGCATGAACTACTATATATCCAAAAACTTCAGGTTCGGGATTTCTCATATATTGGGATCCATGGGCTTCCGGCCCAAATCATATATGTGGGGAGCCTTAATTCATCATTTGAGGTTTATCCTGATATTATTCATTCACGGTCTATCCTTAACAACCAGGATTCCAAAATATATTTCTTCATTGAGGTGTCGATTGTAACATAATCGAGCTTTATTAAATTTATCATTTTCTTATACCAAAGAAATATGTGGTGTACCACAATTTGCAATAATACCTCAAAGGTTGTCCATTTAATTATTGGAACTTCAGGTTCTCAACACTATTGGATTTTGAACTTCATGCCAAAATCACATATTTACATGGTATGGACATTTAATACTCTTAGATTTTGAACTTCAGGCCAAAATCACATATTCTCATAGTATGGACATTTTTTATTATTATTTCATGTTCATATTTCGGGACTTTAGGCCCTTATATAATTGTCCATGTTTTGAGGAACTTCTGGCATCTCATTTAATTGCTCATCCATGAGTTTAAGGAATTGCATGTTCCCTTTTGTATATAGTGACGGCTCACTCAAAATGGTTAATATTTATGCATACGTCATTATTCATGTACGGTACTATTCATCAAGTCATGAATTCGTGTCTATACATGTGTAAAACAAATTTGCTAGTACAATTACTATTCATGGGTACGATACTATTCACATATATGGTTACTATTCATATATTTGCCAACATATTTACTATTCATGTGTACTATACTGTTAATCGATACGGTACTGTTACATCATTAAGGAACTTCAGGTCCTTATTTACATGTCAAGGATCAAGGATCTTCAGGTCCTGATATAGTTGTATGATGAGGATTAGGGCTCGTCAATGAGCCGGGCCGGGCTAGCTTGGCCCAAATTTAATGAGCTTGGGCCGGGCCAAGCCGAGCTTTAAAGAGGAGAGAGAAAATATTGAGCCGGGCCAGGCCGGGCTTTTTTAGAAAATTCAAAGCCCAAGCCCATCTCATGGGCTAAGCTTGAAAAAGCCCATTGGGACGAAATGGGCCTAAAACATAATAAGTGTAAAAAAAATTTATTTATTTTTATAAGGATGGCATGAATAAATATGCAAATATTTGGTGATGTGTTAAAGAAAAGTATGATTATATTTGGTGG